ACATCTCAAAACACCGAGAGTTAATGCATGATGCAAGGGCAACTCTACGCAACTCAACATTCACAAGAGAAGGGCTTTCAAAGGCCCATTAATTCCATAAGTCAAAACCAAATTCATGACGAATGAAATTAATAGTCGGTCTTCATTTGGCCATGCAATAAATTTAGGACCCCGAGGGGAGTTATAAATAAATCGCATTCTAAGTGAATCCCATTTCTCGATCCTGAGTTCATACGAATTCGATTACACGTCATTCGAGGGGATGCCCGTACTCTCTCATAAGACTCCCTCTAATCGTCTAATTAGAAATTTGTCCTGGTAATTTCTTACAATTAATTTTAGCGATGTCACCCGAGGGGGAGCCCATAACCGCAATTAATGGATTTACCGACAAATTAGAAATGGAGGCCTTAGGAATTTTACAACTAACTTTAATTTAAAATCCCTTCTCAAACTTAGTATAATTTAAATCAAGATTTTTACTTATTTAAATATTTATGCAATTCTTAATTAATCTTATGTAAATGCAATAATTAATTAACATGCATAATTAAATATGCAATTCTAAATTAATCCCATGCAAGTACAATAATTAATTAACATGCATAAATAAATAAATAAATAATTAATGGCATAATGAATTTAAATAAATAAATAAATAAATAAATAAATCCACTATTATGGCCATTAAATATTGAGTTCCCATAAACAAGGAAACCTTGTATATTCTTTCCCTGTTCAACTGGAACTCCCACTGCAGTAGAATCCTTGTAGATCCTGTACTGTTTGGACACCAAGTAAACCTCTCCACCGCCGTCAGCCCGCCGTCGCCGCCACCTGGCCGCCGCCCGCCGCCGCCGGTGGTCAAAAAATATTTTTTTTTCTCGCGCGTGTCCGTGCGCGCCTCCGGGCTTCGTCCTGGTTGGTCTTTCGAGGCTCGTTGATCTCTTGTGATCTCCCGTCAATTAATCCACGATCACAACACGAAAAATATAATTTACAAAATTACATAATCCGATCCTAGATCCAACGAATGGATATACATGTTTTCTAAACAAAATAATTAAATGTATCCGGTCAACCCCCGGGCGAATAATTATTACAAACATTCATCCATCAAATTCCTCGACATGTCCGAGGCTTTAAAAACAAATTTAAAACCATACATCACATTCATCAACATTCATCAAACACATAATCGGCCATAATAGTGGATTGAACTAATTCCTACAAAACCGAGTTATGCGAATATAATCCAATATATAGCTGCGTTTGAACACATCTTGATAAATAAAGCCGTAAAAATTTGAACTTGTATACAACGAATTAAACCAAGCTCTGATACCACTTGTTGGGATCAATGAAGATCTCGTTATGCACAAATCACGAATTCAATAGCAAAACGTAAACCTATGCGCAGCAGATCTGAAGGTTTGCGTAGAAAACTTACGGCCTAAAATTTATGGCGATCTGGCTGATCTTCTGGATGGCCGTACACAACACACCAATGAATTGTTGACTGCAAATTGCGTCCTAGGATTGCACGAACAAGATCGGATCGAAAACCGGATCAAACGAGTGCAAAACGGATAAAGACAAGTTGCAGTCCTGGAACCTTGCGGCGGCACGTTCGGGCGCGTGGATGGTCGGATGGCTGCAATCTTGGCGGCATTGGAAAGCACTCGTCGAGTCAGTCGTCTGGGTATACTGCACGTCTTGATCGGACCTCCGGTTTGTTCTGTGCGACAAAATATATTTCGTCTCACTTTACCCAAAGGTCTTCTACTATATATCTCAAACACCTCTTAATCTTGTACCAGTGGAACAATAAGAAGAAGATAAAGATCGAATGGGAACTGAGAGAGAGAAGAGGCGTGAGGTGTGATTTTCAAGATGTGGAATTATCTTCCCTTCCCATGAGCTTAATGATGTATATATAGAACTACAATAGGGATCCTTAGGAGATTAGGATTAGGGCTCCTTAATTAATTAAAATACTTGTGGACCAAGCGACTTATTTCAATTAATTAAATAATATTAAATGGGCCACCAACTTAATATTATTTTACTCTCTTTTCCTAGCCCAATTTACAGTTGAGACCCCAATAATAATTACTCGATTTATCTCCCCATGTTTAAGATATAATGTCCATTAATTGATTCGATTACTGACAATCAAAAATTAATTAATTTATTATTATTTCACCGAAGCTAGCGCTCATTCATCACATTATTACTATGCCAGAATTTAATCCACCTGCAGGGTTTAGCACATTAATCCTTCATGAACTCACTCCGGGGACATCATCAAACTAACGCACATGGTGACCGTAAATATCCTAACAGCACATCCTACATGTAGCAATATTACCCAAGACAGCGGGTCTATTGGCCCAGTTCACTATGCCTCACCCATGTGAATCAAAGTAATAAATACTACACATATATGTCTGTTTAATATCTTACGGGTTAAGAGTACGCAGTAATTAACCGAGGCCTAGTTCGTTTACGATGATCAGTATAAAACTAACTGCTTTTCTCTAGGATCCTGTTCACTACATAAATGTACTAGTGCAACTAATCAGTCAAGACAAACTGTACAGTTGACACAACAACCGTTCGCGATGGGATGTCCATGTCCATCTGGGTTGTGAACCACTTATTCTTGTTTCGCGAGTAACTGATAGCATGATCTTCGGTTCGCCCGATGACGACCCACACAGATATGGGATATTGTATACTAGACCAGTTCGTCAAGTTAGCCGAACAAAATAGATCAACGGTCTGGACGAATGGGACCGAACATCCGCAAGGAAGGAAATAAGGTAGACGACGAAGAAGAGCGAGCTCGATAGTGTTGGATAAGCACCGTCTGCTCGAGGAGATGGTCGAGGAAAGACGATTAAATGGGTGTGGTCGTAGACTCGACCACTTCATATCTCAGGAGCAGCTCAATATTCCCTGAAGATTCGGTCGAACATCAGGATAGATAAGAGAGCCTCCAGCACGTGGGGGAAAGACACGTGGCGCTTCACGAGTGGCCCGCGGCTACAACGAACTCTAACATTATCTGACAGATTTGACGCGTTCTCTGACACCAAAGGTAGTGGAGGCGCGTGGTTGTACGGACGAACAGGAGGACAGCCGGCCAAACTCGCTCAGGTCGCGCGTGTAGAACAGGTAGCTCGTCCCTATAAATATGGATGAGAACCCTCACTTTTAGATACAATCTCTCTAATACTCTGATACACATATACATATTTTTCTCATCTCTCTCAAGATCTGACTAGAGCGTTGGAGGCTCTTCGCCGGAAAACATCTCCAGTGTGAGAGTTTCGTGCAGGTTCGACGTTCTACCGACGAGGAAAGCAAGCTCGAAGCGGTTCTCAGTCGGTTGGGCGTTAGACTTGTATTATTGGCGTCGTCTGTGGGACTTCTGTTCGAAAAGCTGTGTTGAGTGTTTAGCTATGGCGGATGGAATTCCTCGTATGAACTTGCAATCGTCGTTCGATGATGCGTGAACGACAACCAGAATGATGGGAGCAAGTCCCCTACCTGGCTTCTCTGTGCCGCTACAAACACCGGTGACCCCAACACCGGCCCCCCAAGGTGCGACGATACCATGTGGAGGAGAGGGCACGAGCAGAGATTCAAGAGGCTCGAGGCCCAACACCAGTGGCGGTCCTCGCACCGTCGTAGGTAAATCCAGGAGTGGCGCAACAAGGAGGAGCAGGAGCGCAAGCGATGTTACCATCCACTGGAGGTCAGCAAGAAAGAGCTGCAGCACTTCCTGCTCAACAAATGGTGACGATGACGAGGGAAAAGATGCAGCGAATGATGGCCAACGCGGGGGCGCAAGCTGTGCACCAGGTCACTCACTAAACGTCCCAGGCTACCACCACTCCGACCACGGTGGCAGGAACTCAGGAGGAGGATGTGTCGAGCTATGGTGGAGGAGGAGTTCCCAGAGATAGGGCGATGGAGAGGATGGCTGAGCAACTGCGGAAATTACAAGAGAAAGTGGAGGGAAGGCCGGACAGACGTGCTCGAGGACACCCGTTCTTGAGGGAAATTCTGGCTGCACCGCTGCCCGCAAGTTTTAGGGAGATAAATCTGACCTTCGATGGGTCGAGCGATCCGTTGAGGCATGTGAGGGCGTTTTAAAATATGTCCGTTTTGCATGGGTACTCAGATCCGGTCAGTTGCAGGGCGTTCCTGTCGACCCTACGAGGAGGTGCGCTCGACTGGTTCCACCAATTGGCTCCCAGTTCGATCAGAGACTTTGAGGATTTTGCAGGACAACTTACCAATCAATATTCGAGAGCGGTCGCGCAGGAGAAGACATATCTCACTCTGATGGCGATGCGGCAGGTCCAGAAAGTGTCTATACGAAAATATGTCGCTCGGTACAATCAGATGTGCTTGGAGGTGCCTACGACGGTTGATGAGGTGAAGGCAAGAGGATTGATTAGGAGTGTGCGACCAGGGCCATGTCGGACGTTGCTGGCGAAGACGCCTGCTCGAACTTACGATGAGGTGCTGAAAAGATGCAGGAAGTACATCAATTTGGAGGAGACGGAGGTTGAGTTTGCCAAACTCGAAGAGGCGGCGAAACCTGAGCAAAGTAAAGGGATGCCGAGCTCGCCCAGGAGAGGATCACCTAGGAGGAATTCCCCAAATAATGGCTCATCTAAGAGGTTGTCGCCCAGGAGGGATGGGCGAAATTCGTTCCGTGGAGGGCGAGAAGATCGCTGGCAAGGGCGACCCCGGCTACACAATGGTCAAATATATAATAATTTCACTCCTATCAATGCCCAGGTGGGCGAAGTCTTGGCGGCGATACAAGAGAAATTGGAAAGCAAGGAGGTCACGTGGCCGACGACGAGATTCGAGGGGCCGACAAAGCCCAGGTCGAATAGGTATTGCAGATTCCATAGGGATTACGGGCATACCACGGAGAATTTCAGGCACCTGAAAGACGAGATCGAACGTCTCATAAGGGCAGGACACTTGAAAGAGTTCGTCATCCGTGATCGACCACGAGGCAAGGAGAAAAGGAGGTGCATGGAGGATTCAGTGGCGAGGAGTGACAGAGACGATGACAGAGAAGACGATGCCAAGAGGGAGAAGAGGAGGAGAGTGGAGGTGCCTACGAAGAGGGGCACAATTTATATGATTCCTGGAGGGCCCACGGATGGAGATTCGAACAAATCACAAAAGGGGCATGTGCGAGTCGTAAAGCGCAAGAGGGAGGAGGTCGAGATAACTGGTCGAATGCCGGTGATTAGCTTCCGAGCAGAGAATGCAAGGGGGGTTTTGCTACCCCACAGTGACGCGCTGGTCATCACGGCGGAAGAAGCAGGGTTCGATGTGAAGAGGGTGTTCTTCGACACTGGGAGCTCAGTCGACGTGATGTTCTATGACTGCTTCGCGCAGATCAACAAGCATTTGAATTTGGAGTTGAAACCGGTAGCGACGGCCCTATATGGTTTTAATGGAGGTGAGGTGATGCCAATGGGCGAGGTGAGTCTAACTGTGGCGTTAGGGTCGGGCGACACTAGGAAGGTAAGGATGGTGCGGTTTGTAGTGGTTGGTGCAGAGTCATCCTACAATATCATCTTGGGGCGGACAGGTTTGAACGCGTTCCAAGCAGTTGTGTCTACATACCACATGACGATTAAATATCCTGTGGGCAAAAATGTGGGCGAGATTGCTGGGGACCAGCTCACATCAAGGAGTTGTTACCAAACCACAGTCAGCAATAACAAGCAGATGGCAAAAAAGCAATTGAAGGGTGGGGAAGAGAGGCCTGATCGACCAGGAGGGTCGAGGTCGAAGAAGGAGAAGGGATGGAAAGACAAGGGAAAAGAGAAGATAGACATACAACCTGGTGGTGAGGTCGAAGAAATTCAGATGGTGCATGGGAGTGATGATCGAAAGCTTAGAATCGGGAAAGAGTTGGGGGAGCCGATCAGGTCGAGGTTGATCGGCTTGATAAGGGAGTTTGCGGACATCTTCGCGTATACGGCGGAGGAGTTAACAGGTATTGAGGCCAGGGTGATCGAGCATAGGTTGAATATTGATCTAAGTGTGAGGCCAGTAAAGCAGAAAAGGAGACATACATCATGGTGTGCAAATGGACAAAATAATCGAGCAGGAAGTCGAATTGTTGTTAAATGATGGACATATCAAGAAGATCCAGTTTCCAGAATGGTTGTCTAACACGGTGATGGTGTCCAAATCAGGGGTAAAGTGGAGGATGTGCATCGACTTTCGCGACTTGAACAAGGCGTGCCCGAAGGATCTATACCCACTGCCCCGGATCGACCAACTGGTAGATTCCACAGCGGGATGCGAGCTACTCAGCCTAATGGATGCCTCGCAAGGTTACAATCAAATCCCCTTGGTGAAGGAAGATTGGAAGAGGGTAAGCTTCATAACGAGCAAAGGCACCTATTGTTACGTGGTTATGCCATTTGGATTGAAGAATGCTGGGGCAACTTACCAAAGGCTGGTCGACCAGATTTTCAAAGACCAATTGGGGAGGAATATGGAGGTATATGTCGATGACATGCTGGTTAAGAGCAAGGTAGAGACGGATCATGTAGGAGACTTGAGGGAGACTTTCCAACCGCTGAGGAGGTATGGCATAAAACTTAACCCATCCAAGTGATCATTTGGTGTGAAAGCAGGGAAATTATTGGGCTATATGGTGACGAAGCGGGGAATAGAGGTGAACCCTGAGAAGGTGAGAGCGGTGATCGAGATGAAGCCACCTGCCAATGTGAAGGAGTCCAAATACTGACTGGTCGAATAGCGGGCTTAAGTAGATTCATCTCTAAAGTGGCCGAGAAGAGTGGTCCTCTGTTCAAAACACTGAATAAAAGCTCGAAATTTCAGTGGACGGAGGAGGCCCAGAAAGCTTTCGAGGAATTGCGGGAGGTATTGGCAATTTTGCCCTTGCTAGCTAAGCCTGTACATGGGGAAAAGCTCGTGCTCTACATATCTGTGGGCGAGAATGCAGTAAGCTCGGTGTTGTTGCGCGAGGAAGGAGTAGCGTAGTTCCCGATATACTATGTCAGCCGAGTAATGCAGGGAGCGGAGTTGAGATATTCTGAGATTGAGAAATGCGCATTGGCGGTGGTCGTGACAGTTCGAAAGTTGAGGCCATACTTTCTAAATCACAGAGTCAAGGTGCGGACGGACATTCCCCTGGAGCAAACTTTAGGTCGACCAGTGGTATCAGGTCGACTAGTAAAGTGGGCGGTCGAGCTGAGGGAATACTCTATCATGTATGAGCCAAGGAGGGCGATTAAAGCACAAGTTCTGGCTGATTTCATTCAGGAGGGTACGAAGGAAGAGGAGCAAATGGAGGGAGTGTGGCAGTTGTTCGCAGATGGCTCAGTATCGAGAAGTGGAGCAGGCTTGGGCATAGTACTGGTTTCGCCCAAGGGGGATTACTTGGAGTTTACTGTTAATATAGGGTTTCGAATATCAAACAATAAGGCGGAGTACGAAGCGGTGATAAAGGGGTTGCAGTTAGCTCTGGCCGGAGGTGCTCGAAAGATTCAGGTCCACTCTAATTCTCAGTTGGTGGTCGGACAATTCCAAAAGGGTTTCGAGATCAAGGAGGATAGGCTGTAACGTTACGTGGACGATATGAAGAGGCTGAAAGAAGAATTTGGGTCGTTCGAATTAATACAAATACCAAGAGAAGAGAATGGTCGAGCCGATCTATTGTCCAAAATCGCTCAAAATTTGGTAGATTGTAAGAGCAGAAGTGTGACCTTGCTCCATATGGAGAAGAGCGCGGTCGAAGTGGAAGTGGCAGAGATCGAGGAAGTGGAAGACTGGAGAGCCTCAATCTTGAAAGAGCTGCGAGAAGGAACAATAAAAGTAAGGAGGAGGTTTTTCGAGCAAGGAGGGATCCTCTACAAGCAGTCATACGCAGGACCACATTTGAGGTGCGTAACCAAGGAGGAAGGCCGATATGTCCTTAGAGAGGTGCATGAGGGGTGTTGCAGCGATCACAGCAAGGCGGGAGCCATGGTCGCAAAAATTTTAAGAGCAGGATACTTTTGGCCGACAATGAAGGCGGATTCTAAGGAGATGACCAAAAGATGCTTGCAACGCCAGAAGCACGGGCCACTCATCCATCAAACCGCCGAGACAATGACCACAATGAGCGCCCCAATCCCATTTTACGCAGTGGGGAATCGACCTGGTGGGGCCAATGCCGCAGGCAACGAGACAACGGAAATTCTTGATCGTTGTAGTCGATTACTTCACGAAGTGGGTGGAGGTCGAGCCATTATCCAAGATCACCGAGGAAAAAGTAATCCAATTTCTATACAACAACATTTGCTGCCGATTTGGGGTCCATAAAGTCTTGATATCCGATAAGGAAACCCAATTCAACGGCAAGCGAGTTAGGGCGTGGTGCGAGGAGATGAAAATCGAGCAGCACTTTACCTCCGTCGCCCACCCGCAAGCCAACGGACAAGTGGAGGTGACCATCAGGATCATATTGAACGGGCTGAAAACAAGACTGGAAAAAGCCTCGGGGGCGTGGGTCGATGAGCTAACATATGTACTCTGGGCGTAACGAACCACCCCGAGGTCGACTACTGGGGAGACACCTTTCAGTCTGGTATATGGAATGGAGGCACTTTTGCCAGTCGAGCTGGAGTTACAATCCCAACGATCGAGCACTTATAACCAGGAGCAGAATGAGGAGCTCATGCTAACTGCCTTAGATACGATCGAAGAACTTAGAGAACATGCCTCGACCAGAGTTGAGGTGTACAAACAGCAGATGAGAGTAGCCCATGACAGGAAATTGAAGATCCGTCGGTTCCAGGTGGGCGATCTGGTCTGGAAGAGGGTAGACGTGCTCAAGCACGTAGGCCAGCTGGAGCCTAATTGGGAAGAACCATACTTGGTCGAAAAAGTCCATGCAGGAGGGGCATATTCCTTGAAGGACGCCGAGGGCAGATCACTAGCCAGGTCGTGGAGTGTAGCTAATCTTAAAATATATTATGTGTGAACTTTTTTGTTTCCTTTTCATGCTCGAGAAATTGGATTAATGTAATTTTGAAGTAAATTTTCCTCAAGGATTGTCACTGATATGGTCGTTAGTAGCGGCTCATGAGGAACCGGTTGTGATCCGGTCATCACTACCTTATGAAGAGGACCGACTAGGCGTTTGTGGTAGTCGGGCGGTTGGGTGAGTGTCCGGCGAGTGGTGAATGCTTGGCATAGGATAAGTGTCCGGCATGAGGAATGCCCGGCATAGATGGTGCCCGGCATTAGTAGCAACAAGGACTCTCAGGATTCGGAAGACCTTAACCTAATTAAGAGTTTTATATGAAGAAGACTTCTTATCCCACTGGGACTCTCCAAACTTCTCCTATAAAAGGGACCAGATCCATTCATTTTACACAACATACATTCACGAGCTATCTCGTTACTCTGCCGTTTTCTCTCTAGACCATCACTGACTTGAGCATCGGAGTGTTCGCGCCGGGACCACCCCCGGCATGCTTTGCAGGTACCGATGATAAAGGAGACGCAACCCGGTTCGAGAGGAGCGGTCCATCGGTTCAAGTATTTGTGGTATAACAAATTGGCGCCGTCTGTGGGGAAACTCAGTCTTCTACCAGAGTTTTAAGGGCTGTTTTTTCACTACAAAAAAAAAAGAACGATAGAAGTCATGGCAGAAGATAATTCGAAGAAGAACTTGACTAAGGAGATGGATGAGGAGTGGGCTCGGAGGGCCTTCGGGACAGGTCCCCTGCCAGGATGGTCACCATCGCCTGTCACCCCCAAAGAGACGCTGTTGGGCCCGGGCGCGACCCCGATACCAACATCAGAAGCCCAGGGGCGTGCGACGAACACGGGAGGATCGGGTGGTTTGGCAGACAAGGTGAAGGAGGTTGGCACCACGGTTGACGGGGGGTGGATCAAGGAGCCCTGGGATCTGGAGGTGCTGGTTATCAGAACGGTGCCCTCGGAAGTAGGCAGTTGGTCGAGTTGGGAGCACAAAACCCTCCGGGGGATAATGTTTCTTCGGCACCATGGGAGCACCCAGTTATTCAGATGACAAGGTCGGAGTTGGACAGGATCATTGCGGAAGCGATAGGCCGGGCTCAGGAGGTGGATAAGAGAGCTCCTAATGAGTCATTTAGACAACCTCCGCCGCGGCAGCCACTAGCACCTCAACAACAGTTCCCCTTGCATCAGCAACACCAGCGCGTGGAGAGGGGCGACGAGGATGATGCCAGGTCGGTGACCTCCCGCCCGGTGGCAATGACACAACCAGAGGGGTTGACTTTGGAGAGGTTGGCAGCTCAAATGCGGCAACTCCAAGCCCGGGTGCAGGGTAAGAGACCTGTAGTTTCGCGAGGACACCCTTTTGCAGAGGATGTCCTAGGAGGGGATTTGCCTAGCAACTTCAGGGAGTTGAGTTTGTCCTACGACGGATCGGCAGACCCAGCCAGGCACTTGAGATCATTCGACAACATAGCTGTGCTGCATAGGTATAGTGATGCTGTGTGTTGCTGAGCCTTCTTGACGACATTAAAGGGGTCGGCGCAGGATTGGTTCCATCAGCTGCCAACAGGATCTATCGATTGCTTTGAGAAGTTCAGCTCGCTGTTTCTCAATCAGTTTGCAAGTTCCAGGAAGCACGAGAAGACATACCTCTCGTGGATTAATATGCAGCAAAAGGAAGGGAAGACCTTGTAGCAATACGTCGCGTGGTACACTAAGGAATGCGTGGAGGTCCCTTCTGCCTCGGAAGAAGTCAAAGCTGGAGGCCTTACTCGAGGATTGAGGCCTGGGAAGTGTAGAGATTCATTGGCGAAAAGGCCGGCGAGGTCCTTTGATGAGCTGCTTGAAAGGTGTAGCAAATATGTGAACATGGAGGAATCGGAGGCGGACTTCATCCGGAATGATAAAATAAAGGCTAAGCAGCCAGAGGAGAGGCCTCGACAGGGTGATCGGCGAGCTGCCCCTAAGGAGTCTTGGGTTTAGGACCGATTCAGGGGTCCAAGGTATGAGCACTACAAACCACTTAATGCCCCACAACAGGAGATCTTGGAGATGATGGAGAAGCGGGGGGAGGATAAGCTGCTCGCACAACCGAGGCCTTTGCCTCCTCCACGAAAATTTTCAGCATCAAAGGACAGATATTATCGGTACCACCGAGACTATGGTCATTCTAATAAATTTTGTCGAGAGTTGAAGGATGAGATTGAGCGGCTCATCAGAGCCGGTCATTTGAAGGAGTTCGTGATGAGGGATAGGGAGCGCCAAGAAGATCGCCGGGAAGGGCGTGAGTCAGGGGACAAACGGCGGAGGATTGATGAACAACCTGACAGACCGGTGAAGAAGGGTATCATACACATGATCGCGTGAGGTCCTACGGATGGATACTCACATAGAGAGAGAGGAAGAGGACCTACCGGGGTAAGGGTGTGGCTAATGAGGTGGCTGAGGTAAAGGTGCAGAGGAGCTTGGCCACTTTGAAGTTTGGAGCTGACGATGTGCAGGGGCTTGTCGTCCCACACAATGATGCCTTGGTCATCACGGCGGAGGTAGACAGTTACGATGCGCAGAGGGTACTCATAGACACAGGGAGCTTGGTGGACATCATATTCTTAAAGTGCTTGCGGCAGATGGAGTTAGACGTAAAGGTCGGGCCGATCCATACTGCCCTTCATGGCTTCTGTGGCAGTGAGGTCCGTCCCGTTGGTGAAGTTAGTTTGACTGTGGCATTGGGAAGGTCGCCATTGAGGAAGGTGAAGATGGTTCGTTTTTTGGTCGTGGATGCTAGCTCGGCCTATAACATCATACTGGGGTGGCCTAGCTTAAATTCATTCCAAGCAGCCATCTCTACTTATTGTATGAAGATCAAGTTCCCCGTGGGGGATGAGGTTGGGGAGGTGACTGGAGACCAGTTGCAATCTCGGCGGTGCTATGAGGTCACATTGAAGACGGCCGAGGCACAACATAAGAGGAAGAGTGATGACCTGCCTGAGTACTCCCGTCGGGAGAAGAAGCAAGAGTTGGGAATTAGCTCACAGGACGAACTGATGGAGGTTGTGTTAATAGAAGATGACCCGGAGAAGATAACAAAGGTAGGACGTCACTTGAAGGTTGACCTACAGGGCGCGTTGATCGCACTATTGAAGGAGTTTGCGGATGTCTTCGCCTTTTCAGCTGACGACCTCACAGGGATCGATCTCGGGGTAGCGGAGCATAGGTTGAACATTGACCCAACTGTGAGACCGGTGAAGCAAAAGAGGAGGCACTTTGGTGCTGAGTTAGACGTGGTCATTGAGGCAGAGGTGGAGAAGCTGTTGAAGGCGAGGCATGTACAACTATTCAGTTCTCGGAGTGGTTGTCCAACTAAGTTATGGTGCGCAAGGGGGAAGGAAAGTGGAGGATGTGTATAGACTTCAAGGACCTCAACAAAGCTTGCCCTAAGGATCATTACCCTCTACCACGCATCGACCAGCTCGTCGACTCTACAGTTGGGTGCGAATTATTGAGCATGATGGAAGCCTCTCAGGGGTACCACCAGATCCCTCTAGCCGAGTAGGACCAGAAGAGGGTCAGCTTTGTGACATCCAAGGGCACCTACTGCTACGTTGTCATGCCTTTTGAATTAAAGAATGCGGGAGCTACTTATCAACGGTTGGTGGATAAGATGTTCAAAGGGAAAATAGGGCGGAACATGGAGGTCTATGTCGATGATATGCTAGTAAAGAGCAAGAAGGCGGACGATCATGTGGTAGACTTGCGCGAGACATTGAACACTCTGCGGCGATATGGCATGAAGCTCAACCCTGCTAAGTGTAAGTTCGGGTTACGGTCGGGAAGATTCTTGGGCTACCTGGTGACGGAGAGGGGCATCGAAGTCAACCCGGAGAAGGTGCGAGCCGTTATCGAGATGCAGCCACCAAGGAACTTCAGAGAGGTACAGATCATGAGTGGGCGCCTAGCAGGGTTAAGCAGGTTCATAGCTCAATCCGCGGAAAGGAGTTTTCCATTTTTTAAGGCTTTGAAGAAGGGGTCGCGGTTCGAGTAGACGTCTCAGGCACAACATGCATTCGAAAGGTTGAAGGAGTTTCTGGCTGAGCTCCCTCTACTTACAAAGTCGGAGCCCGGCGACACTTTAGTCGTATACCTATCGGTGGGGCACGAGGCCATCAGTTCCGTATTGATAAAGGAGGAGCATGGGCAGCAGAAGCCAATATATTATGCACGTCGGATATTTCAAGGGGCCGAGCGCCGATACTCAAATGTGGAGAAGGCCGCCTTGGCACTCATCTCCACTGCGCGGAAGTTGCGCCCCTACTTCCTAGCTTATAAGGTCATGGTGCGGACCAACTACCCACTCAAAAATACTTTGGGTCGTCCTTCAGCCTCGGGAAGGATGGTGAAGTGGGCGGTTGAGCTAGGCGAGTACAATGTTGACTTCGAGGTGTGAAAAGCTATTAGGCTCAGGCGTTAGCCGACTTCATACAAGAGTGCAATTAGGAGATGAGAAGGTACCATGGATGGTGTATGTCGACGGCTCATCGGCCGTAGGAGGAGTAGGTCTCGGTATCTTGGTGGTCACACCCGAGAAGGATCATTTGAAGTTCGCGGTGAAACTCTCATTTAGAGTGTCGAACAATGAAGTGGAGTACAAAGCCCTCATCAAGGGGATTCAACTCGTTTTGAAGGAAGGGGCCCGACAAGTGATCATCACTCAGACTCTCAGCTTATGGTCAAACAGATCAGGGGCGAGTACGAAGCTAAGGAGGAACGCATGAAGAAGTATCTGGTAGAGGTTCATGCGATGCTGAAGGGGTTCGCAACTTGGGAGTTGATACAAATACCGCGGGGAGAAAATGGTAGGGCCGATCTACTCTCGAAAGTGGCCGCATCACTTGTGGATTGTCGATCTCGGTCGGTGACACTGATGGATATGATTAGGAGTACCTTAGACCAGGTACTGGAGGTCGAGGAACAAAGGGATTGGAGGTCACCCCTAATACAGTGGTTGCAAGAGCCGGTGGTTGGAAAGGATATCAGGGACGACCCGGTTGGAAGGAGAGCATTGAGGTTCTATTGCAGAATGGGATCTTATATAAGCGATCGTACATAGGGCCCCATCTAAGGTGCGTCTCGGAGCAGGACTGTAATATCCCGTCATGTTTATTAATGTAATATCATGTTTAGTTCCGAAATATTTAGTTTATTAAGCGTTATCATTCAGAACTAGTTAATTCAGTTAAGAACGTTCGAATTAATTTTTGAATATCATGTCATGTTCAGAATAATTTTCGATAATTAATTCATGTCTAATCGCTTGATAAATATTATATTGAGCTTAATCATGTTTAATTAAGGTATTAATTGTCTTGCCTTACCAAGAAGTCATGTTAATTATGTTAAACCTAGCCCTAAGTAAGGGTTAGTGCACGCCAAGTGTGTTTATACTCAACATTAGCATGGATGTGCTTAGTTTATGCGTAAGCAAGCATTAGCACGTCTAATGCACGTTTAAGGTCATGCTTAGTACATTATAATCGCCGTAAGTTTTGACTCCCTTCTCACGTGAATTATCATCATTGCACAAGACACATGGTAACTTGAGGTAAGTTTGGGAAGTGACTAAGCAAGTATGTTGATGACTAAGCACACAAGCGCCACCTAGCCACCCCATCGCACGGCACTTGGCGCAAGGCCATTGGCCACGAGTTTCTCCCCAACTTTCACCATCGTTTACCTCTTATAAAATCTGAGAGTTGGGGGAAAAATGTTCAGTTACTACTTCAGATTTCACTAAACAAATAATTAGAATAATTAAGCTAGATTAAGAGATATTAAGCTATCGCACACACGTACTCGCACGGAGGCAAGGGATCACGGTCGTTCTTGCGATTTTTCACGAGCATTCAAGGAGGTAACCATGTTCAGACCTTCTTTTGATGTTATTAAGATCATGTTAGGATCAGAAAATTCATGTAAAATGCTAAGTGATGCTCGATTTAGACCATAATCGCTCATGCCAAGTGATGTCTAAATTTATTCGATAACTCCTGAACAATTTATGTTTAGATGACCATTATATGTCATGTTATACTCAGTTAGTTCATGTTGGTCGAGGAAAGTTAAGGTTTGGTCGGGAAATGGCCTAAGGAAGTGGGTTGCGCACGTAGCGCTTGCCCACGGGCCGCTTCATACCTTATCATGTTATCTTTCATTGTGATCATGTTTGTTCGAGTGATTCATGTTCCAACAGCCTTTAAATAATGTATTACGGTCAGTCTCTTAATATTGCTCGAGAAAAACTCATGTTTGGTCGAGGGTTCGAACTAAGGCCGTCGGTTGCGCCT